GTGAGAGCATTTCGAGATGGAGAGCGGACTCTTCCCGCTCTCGGCCGTACCAGGGCATTTAGGGGCCGTCTGATAATCTGCGATGTTTTGTGTATTTGTTGACCCAACTGTTCTATTATTGAGTAGTATATTATCAAAAGTAATAACATTAAAATATGAGCATTAAAATGTTGTGGTGAGTTCTCTGTTATTTTAAATTAGATGAAAAAATACTATTCTAGATATATCAAAATCATAATAATGATAGGCCTAAAGACTTCATTCATCAATGTAAATCAATTTGCAATCATTTACTTTCAAGTTTGTTGTTAAAATAACCTTACACAAATCGCTTGTCGGTTAAGTATATAATATTGTCTAGGATTGAATAATGTTTACATGAGTAGAGCAGTAGGATAATAATGGTAATAATTAACTCATTCATCACGTACTTGGGTGTGAGTCACGTTTTAAATGTAAGGCTAGTGGTACTATCTGGTTACCGAAACCGAAGCAGTTGGAGCAGGATTCAAACCTAGAATATAATGGCTGCATATCATATGCCTTGACCATTAAGCAGTGAATTAGTGGTTAAGACTTTCAGTTTTCAATCTTTATGTTTCAGATCTCAAGTAACCTTCACCTATTTCGGCTTATGCAGCTAGGTAATAGCACTAGGCCTCCCAAACGCGAGTTTGTACTTGTTGAGTTGAATGATCATATCCGTGCCAAAATACTGATTCAATGCATTTTATAATGTTATTTAATTCTGTCTGAATGTATCTTGTTCACCATGAGACTTAAAGTTCTTGTGTTCGATCGCCTGTGTACGTCCATTGGGTGTGTATTTATGAATGGTTTCAAACTAGGATGTTAAAGATCGATCCAATGTTCCTTATGTACCAATATATCTGATTTATGTATGCTTAACAATATAAATTAAAACTAAATCACTCCCAAAAATCATCTAACCATAATATTTATAGAAACAAATTTCAAAGCCTAATCTATAACTTGGAGATGATTTCTGGAAAACGTTTAGGAAAGGCATATTTAGTAGTAGGACGTGTACGTCGTATTTATATGTATACTATTTTTCCAAATGTTAGCGTATTCATTTTTGACTGAACAAACAATCAGATAAATATCATACTCTGTTGTGTACTTAATAACCATTCAAATATAATTCATTAACTTTGATTATATCAAGGTTATTACAGGTTTCAGACGGATAATTCTATTGTTGTTTAGAACGTTGTGTATATTGAGAAAATGTGTTAAATTAGTTCTATTACTTGTGCGTTAAATATTCAAATCCCATAGTTACTATCATGTATATAGTGAAGAAGCACTCGATTATCGGCTAACAGATCTCAGTTTCAAACACTATTCTACCTAATTCAGTTTGAATATCCGAAAACTATCAGTAGTAGTCTACACATAAGCAGTATGATTGAAAGGCGAGTACCCAAACTCACACTTCATATCCATTATTAAAAGTGGTTGTTATTTGATTGTTCGATATATCATGAGTCATATCAGAATATATAGGTTAGTTAATGTGATTTTATCAACAACGAAATCTTGTCTGGTTTTATAAGGTCTACCTAAGTTTATGCACTAAACTTTTGCACTTCGTATCAATATACTTATCAAAGGTATTTCAATGGTATTGTGATTAAAAAAATCAGTTTAAGGGTTTCCTTTCAACTACCTACAATTAACACAATATTTTGAACTGACCAGTCATTCCTGTTGTATATGAGTGTGTTTCGAGTTACAGCTTCCAAATGTATTTCATCTTCATTAACCAATCGAATAGTATTTTTGGTCCTGATTGAATAAGTCAACATGAAAACCTTACGTTCAAATTTATATTTGGCTACCGGCTTATATTCACTATTTTAGTAGTATTCTACATATATAATTATACCTCTTAGATTATCGTATATGAATGTTGTATTTTTCCAGTGAAACGATAAGTAAAGAATAGTTATCATAATTAACTTCATTAATAGTAGCAGGAATGTTTCTTTGAACTTAACTTTAAAGAGGCTGGGTCATTTTGATTATCAGTGTCCACTACAGATAAGTAACAGATTAAATGCTCATTCCACACACTTTAATAGGACACAAGTGTGATTTACGTTTTAATTATATTCTCTTTTGTGTGTCTCTGGTGCATATTTAAAGTTATTTGTAACTAATGAAATTTACCAACTAGCTAATAGGGTTTCCAATTTACGAGTAAAATACTGACTTATTAGATGTTGAAGAAGATTTGTAGCTCAGGTGGATGATTTTGATGAACAGAACAAGCTGTGAACCACATGTGGAGTAATTCAAACACTTCACTTGTACCCGAAGTTTGTGTTGATGATGTCGTTCAGAAGGACGATGAAAACTCCACGACCAAACCATCCAATTCAGAGAACAAAACTCCATCAAAAACTGATTTATTAGTTGATAGGGTTAAAATCTGATTGACATAATACAACTGTCACTATTCAAACTTACTCCCTATTTCTTTTACATGTTTATTGTGTGCGAAAGTATTTTTTTGCTTAATTCCAGTTTTACAGTTAACATATATTGTTTGTGTTGTTTTTCTCTCCTTTAAAGATAAAAGGTTATTTTATTTACAATAATTATCATTTCGGTAGTAATCTAAAGGATAAGATTGAGTGTGTATGATTTTTCATTTCTTGATAGGAATTTTAAATCCATACTTCTAAAATCCCATCTCATAATTATACTTGTGGTGGTATTTATATATTAATCAGTCTTATGAAACATAGAACGTAGTACATCTATGTATCAATTCAAGTTAGCACATGTTGAATGATACTGATTTACACACGTCATACTAACTGTTGTTTATTACTGTACTTAATTTTCAAATAAAATTATAAAGACTTCAATTGTCTACAGGGATCAAACTTTCGCTTAAAAAAGTGTTGTGACAAAAGTCATTATACTTACAGACTTCTGAGTCGAGATCTCCACATTAGTTCACATTTCGTAGTTCCGACAATTCACAATAATAAAACAACTACCATTCTGACCTAATCTGAATACGTGATAAAAACTGATTTTTATAAGATTAGTTTAGCAACAAATTATTTTGAAGCTAGACCACCAAGGAAAACCTGGAAGCATTGGACGGCCGTTTCGTTCTATTGTGGGACTCCTCAGCAGTGCGCATCCACGACCTCGCCTCGCGAGATTGACTCATGCTTTCAACTATGCAAATATTAAATCTCTACAAAAAACCCCTTCTAATTATAATCATATGCTCACTAATGAATGACTTCAAGAGATAATTCCTGGAGTTCTAGTGAGAAGCAGTGACCAGTCCAGTTCAACCACATCTGGTGCGAGATAGGAACTCACTGAAGACAATTGGTGAACGGTTGCTCAACTTCGTGGATTGGTTGAAGTTAGACATTAACACTGTTGGATGCCCGCCGACTCAGTGGTTTATCGCTTAAGTGCTCTAACGCGAGACCGGTAGATCCTGGGTTCTAATGCAACACTGCTGAGGAGTCCCACAATAAGACGAAACCACCGTCCAGTGCTTCTAGGTTTTCCGTGGTCATCTACCTTCAATTGACTCATGCTTTCAATTATGCAAATACTAAATCTTCACAAAAAACCCTTCTGATAATAAATTATATGGCAATATTTGTAGATTGATTCATTTTTAACTATGCCAACGTTATTTGAGTGTTGATTATGTTGTCGAGTACAATAGTCAAAACTGTACTCAATTAAACCATTTCGCTTAAAAAAATACAGTCAACAAACTTTCAGGTTTTCCTGTAAACGCCATAGATTTTTATTACAGAATCCAACTATTCATGTGTACAACTCCATTTACTTCACAAATCTTCTTAATTCTAATTTCTCATGAAAATTGTAATGGTTTAACAATCTAAGTTGTTTGTTTTGTGTTAAAATTTGGTCAAAATATAATGTTTTATATATTTAAATATTAAACATTTCATTATCAGACTACTTGATTGTAATCACAGAATCATATTTGAAAGTGTAATTTACTATTCCATGTATTATGACTTGCATACTTTTTAAAATCGGTTAGAATAGACTTGAGTTATCTATACCTGTCTTCTATAGACCTATCCAATGTGGTAGTGTAACTGAATCTTCTGAATGGAAAATATGCATACTAAAAATTACGGCTTAAAATGAGATCTTTAGTGATAATAAACCTGTAGTTCTAAGCATTCAACTGAAGAAAATGATTCGAAGTATTGAGTACAACACATTTGATGAATGTGAAAATCATTTGTCGAGATTGTAGGATGATCACAGTTGTAAATCATAAGCTGTTGAGAAGTCCCTTACCAGAATAAAACAGCTTTCTAGTGCCTTCAGGTTTTTAATGGTGGTTCAGCTAAGGCCAATTCAGGATTTAAATTTAAGAATATAAAAATGTTGCAAATACCTTCAGGCAATATATAATTATGATTGATTTAGAATACAGTTGTAATCATAATCAATCCTAGATAATGTTTAATTGTCTTAAATTTATTATGATTTCGTCCATCTAAATTAAAACACCATCTTTCTCGGTTTACAATCAAGTTATCTTTAAAAAAAACATATTTCTGGTCTTTGTGTTCATTATTATTGGAAAGAGGTGCATAGAATAAACGCCTGAATTATCTTTATTATGTGCTTCATATCACTAATCAGGTAAATATATGGATACTCCAGTTCGAAATACTCCATTTAGTGTAAGTTCTGTGTGGTATGGCAACTTGGACTGATGCATATATGTACCTGGTCCTACGTTGTAGCTGACTAACTGAAGTTCTGTGACCAGACATTTCTCGAACACACTCGCACATATATATATATGGAACTTCTTTAATATCAAATTAATTCGGATAGTTTATTTTCGCTATATTTATTCATCCGCTTAGTGTTTCTTTTTTTTGTTTTGAGTTCACTTATTAATGTATCTCACAAATCTTTCATTTTAATTTATATTTCAGGCTTCATTCTCTTCATCAGATGATTCAGATATTATTGAAAACAATAATATAAATTCAATTGATGAAGATGATAATCTACCTTTGTCTACATTCCTTCCTTTAAAATCAGATACATTGACCAATAATACAACGATTATTACTAATCATCATTATCCTAATAATAATAATAATTCCAATGATAGTAATCATGATCAAAATAATTTCATACCATCTTGTCCATGTACAAAACCAGCAGTTTTAGATGATCCACGATTAGATGGATTATTTTGTTCAACTGAATGTCTTATACGTACATGTCATGAAGCATTTGATATATGGTTAAAAAATCATCATTGTATTAAAAATGATTCTATCATTTAAGTAATAGAAAAGAATGCAGAAAAAAAAGTAGCTATGCTTTCAAACATAGAATTTTCTTGTTGTTGTTGTTGTTGTTATGATTCTCATTTTAATTGTGTACATATTTATAAATATTGTTTGGAATTGCTTATACTACTCAATGGTGAATGAAATCATATATATGTATATATGATTGAAATGTGTACAGATATTTATGTAGAAAGAACAGTATTTTAATGTTGTTCTCTTTTTTGATTATTATACATTAAAAACCTGGAAGCACTGGACGGCCGTTTCGTCCTATTATGAGACTCCTCAGCAGTGCGCATCCACGATCCCGCACCCGCGAGATTCGAACCCAGGACCTACCAGTCTCGAGCCGAAGCCCTTAACCGATAGACCAGGTCTGTTGTAGAGATATCATCTCACTGAAGACAATTGGTGAACGGTCGCTCAAAGTCGTAAATTGGTTGAAGTTAGACATTAACACCATTAAATGCCGGCTCAGTGGTCTATCGGTTAAGGGCTTCGGCTCGAGACTGGTAGTTCCTGGGTTCGAATCTCGCGAGTCGGGATCGTGGATGCGCACTGCCGAGGAGTCCTATAATAGGACAAAACGGCTGTCCAGTGCTTCCAGGTTTTCGATGGTGGTCTAACTTCAATTGACTCATGATTTCAACTGTGAAAATACTAAATTCTCCACAAAACCCCCTCTGATCTATTATACATTAACAGCATTTATATGAATTGTGAATAGAAAATTGGTTTTTTACACAATAGTGGTAGTAGTGATAGGGAAAAGAAGCAAATCTATATTTGGAAGCATAAGTCAATTGAAGTTAGACCATCATGGAAAACCTGGAAACACTGGATGGTCGTTTCGTCCTACTGTGGGACTTCTCAGCAATTCGCATCCATGAACTTGCCTCGCGAGATTTGAACCCAGGATCTACCATTCTCGTGCCAGAGCACTTAAACGACAGACCACTGAACCGACCGACATCCGATGATGTTAATGTCTAACTTCAACGAAGTTGAGCAAACGTTCACTAATTTTATTCAGTGAGTTCCTATCTCACACCAGACGTGGTTGAACTCCACTGATTACTGCTTCTCACTAGAACACCGTCTATATTCTTAACTAAACAATATAATATCCGAGTAAAATGTCCACTGTATGTGTTTTAAAAAACACTTCCCAGTAATTAGTTTCAGAAGAGGGTTTGAGCTGCTTTCACAATTAAAACAATTAAAGTACCGAATTACACAATTAATGTGTGAAAATATTGTACTTGTCATTGCATTGTAAAGTTGATTGTAAATGGCTGAATAGGGATAATTACCTTTTTTCTTTGTAAGATATTCCAGTTTATTGATAAAACGACTAGGATGGGATGATATGGTTAGATTAGTTATTTTTAATTATTAGGTCAATTCTTAAACTTCATTTGAATTTATTATAAGAGACAGAACAATCAACTATCATTCAGTGTGAAGTGGTTGTTGGCGTTGGTATTTTTTTACTAGGTTTCAATCAATCAACAATAAAATAATTTAAGAGCCATTACAAATTTGGTCGAAATACATAACTCTTGCAGAAATGAGTGACAAATTATATGGACTCAGTTGAAAACGCATTGAGCGTTCGAAGTCCATGGTTCTTGTACCATTCAGTGAACATGAACTCCAAGACTCAGATACATCCAGCTGACACGTCCAAAATAGAACGAAACCTTCAGTTAGTTACATTCTATTTATTGAACCTAAAAATGTATGAAGTGAAGACCGGTGTTAGACAAGGTTGCTTCCTCTCACCCTTTCTCTTTCTCCTGGTGATTGACTGAATCATGAAGACGTCAACATCTGGAGGAAAGCACGGGATACAGTGGACAGGCAGGATGCAACTTGACGATCTAGACTTCGCGGATGATCTGGCTCTTCTATCACAAACGCAACAACTAATGCAGGAGAAAACGACCAGTGTAGCAGCAGCAGTAGATCTAAATATAAACAAAGAGAAAAGCAAGACTCTCCGATACAATACAATATGCACCAATCAAATTACACTTGACGGAGAAGCTTTGGAGGATGTGGAAACCTTTACATATCTGGGCAGCATCATTGATGAACACGGTGGATCAGATGTAGATGTGAGGGCGCGGATCGGCTGAGCAAGAGCAACATACCTACAACTGAAAAACATCTGGAGCTCAAAACAATTGTCAACCAACACCAATGTTAGAATTTTCAATACAAATGTGAAGACCGTTCTACTGTATGGGGCGGAGACGTGGAGAACTACGAAGGCCATCATCCAGAAGATACAAGTGTTTATTAACAGCTGTGTACGCAAGATACTTCGGATCAGATGGCCAGACACTATCAGCAACAAGTTACTGTGGGAGACAACAAAACATATTCCATGTAGCGGAATTCGAAATCAGGAATACATTTTATAATTGACAAATAAATTGTCAACAGTATAAGTATACTACACCATACAATTAATGATTACTTCATTTCAATAAAACATAAAATCAATTGTTGAAACTTCAACTTTTCTTGATATGACATAATATTATTGATTTCATGATAATCTCTAACATGCTTTCTTCTTAACTCTATGTCAATCATATGAAATAATCATTAATAACATTTGCTTCTAAAGAAAACAGTAGCCGTTTCTTTAATTTCATACGTTCTTTATTGTTTTGTTTTTTTCCTCTTTTTTCAATCTATTTTGATACTCTTTAAGTTTTATTATTTTAGGTGAATTATTTTAAGTTTCTAGTCTTTGATTTTCAATGAATTTGATAACAAGATTTTCTTGATTGTATAGTTTTGTCTTTTTCTTCAATACTACTGTTGTACAATACATTTCCTAGTCCAATTATTAAAAAAAACATACAAAGTGATTTAATCGTTTAACTTTCAATTGATGGATTGCAGTTACAATTATAAAATCTGCCCCCAAATGCCCTAGTACGGCCGAGAGTGGGGAGAGTCTGCTCTCCCTCTCGAAATGCTTTCACATGGCAACGCGAATATATAGCCTCTTCCAGGGAAGTCCTACTCACTGCCTTTTCGTGGCATTATTGTTGTTTACGAAATTAAGAGGACGAAAAGCGAATGTTCGGCACTTCAACCGGGTTGGTGGACACGGAAAGTCCACCTAGGGAAGTTGGAAAACCCTGATTCCAAATCAATAGTGCACATGGGCTTCAGTGTCCTGAGGGAGCAAATGGCGTATGAATCAATCGTCGGTCACCAGCTACCATGGGGTTACATCTCCTGACGATGCTCTACGGCCTTGTGAATCACACCTTTAGATCAAAGGCTGGGGTTGTGGCTCCCTAAGAAAACCACCTGTTTCAATTTGGGCACCTGAGCAGTATCACAGTCCTTACACAAATGAAAGAGATTTGTGTGGCGCATATGTATCTGGTGCCTCTTTGTACCAATATCTATGTTTTCAAATATAAATAAATAATAAATCTGCTTCAGCTTTTGCATTAAACATAGTTTAACTTTAAACATGAACTTATACAACATTAAATTAGAAACAATGTGATCCTTTAATAATTGAAACAGATTAATATTTTATTGTATAATAGTCACTGTGAAGATTGAATCTGTGGTTGTCCAGAGCAATTGTACAAATCTAATGTAATGGATATCACAAGTAACGAAAGATATATAGTCATATACATGATGTTACAATAAACTGAAAGCTTATCAAATAGTAGTATGTATTCAAGAAATCCAGACTGTTTACAGTAAAGTGGACGATAATGATCATTATTTATTATCATAACACAATCCAAGATATCATTACATACTCGTTTTATAGATAAGAATTTCCAACGTCATAATTAGAGTTTGTTAAAGATCAGATCAAATCATTCTCTCATTTCATATGCATGTTTAACATATTTTTTTGTTTTTTTTTCTCACCCATAGAGTATTCAACTAAGAGTAATTTTCGCATTATTTTTTGACAAAATGATCTATATTATAAGTCATTTTCAAGCACAGACAAAGAAAATAATGTAACTTATAGGTTTGAAAAGCTATTTTACTCGAAATTTCGAAAATCAGTACTGTAACTTAACCTCATCCTGTCAACTTGTCAGGTAACAAGATCTTGGTAGACGATTACCATTTAACACATGTTTATGACAGTTAAATTCGTATAGATGATGCAATCATGTTAATAAGGGTATAATAATGAGTGGGTCAAACCACAAGAATTGTACAAATAAAGTCAAACTATGTGAAGTATGAACAATAACGAAACTGTTTACAAACAAACTCAATCTACATCAATTATCCCAACAAGTGATGCAGAAAAGTTTACATTGTTTCTATTTCTGCGATATCAGTCATCTATTAGAGATGGAAAATTCTACGACTGTAATTCAAAAAAGGGGGTGTTATCTTCGAATGATTTTTTTGATTTATAAGTACTCAGTTAACGAAAACCTTATCTCCAACTTTATTACAATTTTGTATTATAGATCAGAAGGGGTTTTATGGAGATTTCAGTGTTTTCATAGTTCAAATCATGAGTCAATTGAAGTTAGACATTAACACCGTTGGATGCCGGCCGGCTCAGTGGTCTATCGGTTAAGGGCTCTGGCGCGAGACTGGTAGGTCCTGGATTGAAATCCCGCGGGTCGAGATCGTGGATGCGCACTTCTGAGGAGTCCCACAACAGGACGAAACGGCCGTCCAGTGTTTACAGGTTTCCCATGATGGTCTAGCTTCAGTTGACTCATGATTTCAACTTTGAAAATTTTGTATTAGGACGGACTAAAACGCACGATGATGTTTTAAGTCAATGTAATATTTACTCAGTGTAACACGCAGCATTTATGTAAAATCAGCTGTTTCATTCTGTTTATTTCAGTTATGTATGATTTTTCGTGGTTATTCATAAAAAGATAGTCAAATCTGCCTGTTAAATGAGTGTGTTTAGTCAAAGCACTCGTTATACTGTTCCGAGGATTAAGGAAATCTAC